TCAAAGGTAGAGGTAGGGGTAGTCATCAAATTTATGATTAATTGCTTAGTAACCATTTGAAGTTATGGTCTCCCTGGAGGTACTTGAAACCCAGTGTCATAGTTCCAACAATTGTCCTCAGGTGGTATTCAGCAGGTTCTGACCAGTTCTGGAGAACTGGTAGTGGAAATTTTGAGTAGTTTGGAGAACTGGCAAGTACCACCTCTGACTGGCCCCACCCCCATCTATTCTCTGCCTCCTGAGTCCCAGCTGATTGGCTGGGTCTTCTTTTGTTGCCCTTCATAGGTGAACGGAGCTGGAAAGCAGGTTAGTGGGGTGGGGAGGAATGGGATTTTACAGTATCCTTCCCCAGGAGCAGGGAGGGAATGGGGATTTTGCAGTATCCTTCCCCTGGAGTGGGGAGAGAATGGAGATTTTACAGTATCCTTCCTCTGCCGTGCCCACTAAGTCATGCCATGCTCACCAAGCCACGCCCACAGAACCAGTAGTAAAAATTTTTGAATCCCACCACTGAACTGTCCCTCTCTTGTGGTCATATGACTGCACCTCAGGCACTTTTGTCATAATTTCTATTCAAGTGTTTTACTCCAAGCAAACTCCATCTCTACAGATATAACTGAAGAGATTCCTGTTACATGTTTAGCATCATTAAATATAGGTTGAAAGTCTTCACATATACGGTTCATTGACTTCTGCATAAACTAGGAACCTGCATAAAAATGGTTGAGGTTTATATGCAGGTCAACTTTTTAGAAATAATCTGAAACCTTGCATGATGGGGCAGTTCAAATCTCCGGGGTGATGCTACTCCAAAGGGCAGGCACTACAAAAAAGAAAGCATACTTCTTAGGTCCTATTAGATGACATTGATTAAAAAATGGGACACAAAATGTGTCCACTTGGTCAGGTTTTCTAGGACAAGCAGAAATGATGGAGAAAAGATGATCCTTTAAATGTTCTGCCTCTATAATGTGGTTATTATATGATGGCAGCAAACATCTTGAAACCTTTCAACTTTCATTTTCAGAACTTGATACTTTGTAATCTTCTCCAATTCTTTGTTTTATATTCTACTATCCCCTGATATTGCCAAATTTTTATCCATGTTTTCTTTTTTTCCGTCACAGCTGAATATGTTATAAACTAAGACTTCATCAATTTGTATTGAAAAATCATACAATATTGGAAATTACTTTTTTCAACTCTGTGTTCTTACCAATTTTTCTTTACTGACACATGATAATTTGCTGTTCACTTTTCCAATGAATAATTTCAGTGATTCTGTTACATTTTTAATGTTTATATGATGCTGAAAAATCTCAACATTTGATGTAATATTTCTTCTGTTTCTTTGCACAATATGCACTTTGAATCATTTGATGATATTTTAATTTATGGTTTTGATTGCATTAGTTCTTGAGTAGCCAAAATCAAACCTTTGTTTTTGTTAACATTTTTTTTGCAAATATTTCAGTTGTAAGCCATTGCCAGTTTTATCTTTATCCACTTTCTCCTTGATCTTTTGGAGAAATTGACCAAGATGTGCTTTTCCTTGCCAAAATTCTATTTGTGTTTTTATTAAGTTATTTTAATATTCATGTTTTCTATCATGTATCTTCAGTAAGTTTCAATTTTTAGCTTAGTTCTTGACTGTCATTTACATAACCAACTAATACATGTTTTTCTTCTTCAACAGTTTGTTTTAATTGGAACTTCTGCTTCCATTTTTGTAGGGCAGGTACAATCTATCAATATTAAAAGGATATAATGCATAGTAAATAGACATTAGTTTTCTATCTTTTGATCCAAACTGTCCAGTTCTGCTTTTGTCCTGTTATTTCCAGAACTATTTTGTTTCATACATATTGACCAGGTATTGATGACTTTGACGGTGTATCCACTGCTCAATTTTGACTCTTAGCAATTTTCTCAGTCTAACTTTTTTCTTATTACACATTAGTGTTATTTCTAGAATTCCTTCTTTATTCAGATTGCAATTAATAGATCACAAGCATATATACTAATTTGCCACATATTTCAAATGCTTACATGTTTCTTTTCAAACTCTTTTGATAGATGCCTAACAGTACAGATTTTTCCTTGTTATATTTACATTACAACTTTCACACCCCATTGCTAAAAACAATTTCTTTTTAAAAGAAGATTTTTTTTTCTACAAAAGAACAGGGAAATCAAAGGGAAAGTAATCTTTCTATGCTATTTTGGGAAAAATATTAATTATGTCTACTTCAGGCATTAAAGAGAAAGTAGAGAATCAAAATTTCTTGGTATGAATCCTTAAACAATTAACTGATGTTTTAGGATTCTCAAACTTCACCAAACTATAACCATCTAAAATAATATATGAATGATAACTGTACATGCAACTTTATCATACTTGAGTTGGGCTTATCACTTCTTTTTACCTAGGTCATCTTTAGGTTTTATATTTTTTTCTAAAATGTTTGGTTAGCATGTTCTCTTTTCTTTTCTTTGTTTTTCTGTTTTCCTTAGAATATTTTATTTTTTTCTGTGCAATAAATAATATTAAATTAAAATACTTTTTCTATTTGAAAACCTATAAATAAAATTAAATCGATAGGAAGGATAAAAATACTGAATTTCACCATTGCATATACTTCTACAAATACCCCAAAGGCCATTGATACATATATACATGATTGCATCATACTGAAAGTCACCTGCTAATAGGAAATCATTTGCCAATTACAATTGGTTTAGCCATACTCAAAACCTGCTTTGTATATTTTGCTCCTTAGCAAAATGGAAACAAGTTTTAATAAATTATTCCCATTATACAAGCCTTATCAGTTACATATTCAATGTTGTTCACTCTGAGATCCCATTGTTTTGGTTTTCTTTTTCTTTTTTTCTAAATACAGATATAGACTGTTTTTTTTCTAAGCTCAGGAGAGAAGCTGTGAAAAATGCTAAAAATTCTACCACCTCAAAAATATCTTTCTTCTTTTACTTTTATTAATTTTTGGGCAAATTAGAAGGGAAAGCCTTTGGATGATAAGTCTGAATAATTAATATTTTTCTTTTGACTCCAATTTAATATGACTCACATTTTAAAAGGATTTTTGATGTCATTTTAATCTGATTCTTTAATTTCATGACAGTTGCAGAAAAACTTCCTTGTGTTGTTGTTACCACAGCATGGCTTTCAAACAGATATTTCTGCATTAATGTTTCAAGACTTTTTACCAATTCCTTTCCTTTTTAAGTAGGGGATATAATACAAAGGAATATTACATTCAGATGTGATCCAGTGACTAAAATCTGAGATCATCACAGGCCTTTTCAATGCTTTGATTTAACCAAGGTATACTGAATGATCATAGGATTGCCAACATCCGATAATGGATATGGCACAAGAAAAGGAAGAATGCTGAATGGGTCATAGGTGCTGAGTTTACACATAATGATAAACCACAAACCTGAATTTACAAACCTCCCTATTTTAAGCTGGAACTAAACAAATGTATTATGCCTTAGTTTGGAGGCATTTTATAGTGGTGAATTTAAGTAGAAGATAACTTTTGCTGATGGAAACAGCTGTCAGTATAATGATGAATTATTCTGACTTTTTTCATTTTGTGGCTAGTTAGTATTCTGTGATATAGAAAACAGAAGGATAAGTTTGTGTAAATCATAGTGTAAAGACAAGATAAAGTCAGTATCATGTAAACAGAGAATGGAATTGGGGTTGCTAAACCAACCCTTTGATGTTGTAACTATAGCTAATGAAGAAAAACCAATAAACTTTATTGTCAATGTGAAAAATATATTGTGGAGCAAAAGGCTATAAATGAAGTTTAAAAGTTATGATGAACTCCTTTATTGGGGTTCATAACTATGCTCTAGCTATTTCCTTTAAAATAAGAGACCAATGAAGATATTCATGACTCCACTGATAACAGTTTTGTTATTCAGGAACATTGTTTTAAATCACTAAATGTATAGATAGCTACTTGTCCTACTCCTTAATTATTGTACAGTAAGAAGAGGTTTCCCCAAATATTTAAATACTATGTTCATACTCATTGAATTTTATATCTTGACAGTGATCATTAGATTTCACATAAAATTACAAGAATAGAATTACAGAAAAAATAAAACTATAACATGAGAAAATAGGCATTGACATAAATTGAATAATAATAATTCTATTATTCAGCTTGGTACCAAAGTGAAATTTGGGGAAAAATGTCTACATTAAACTGATTGTAATACAGTTTTAAAATATGCACATTTTCCCCATTTCTGCAACTGTGTTCAAGGACATTTTTACTGAGGAAAATTATTTGGCAGACAGGAATTTCTCTACTTTTAGTTTATGTTACAAATAAATTGTACTATTGACACCTTTGCTGGCAAAGCTACCTGCTTGATTCATGTCTTTCCAAAGGAATCATATCTCTGTCATTTAGATTGAGGGGTGTCAAATTTATTTTAGCAAAGTACCACTATTCTGTTTAGATTAAGTTAGACACTAGTATGTGGCCAATGGTTTGATTTCTCATTTTAAATTACCATTAATTTTAAGTAATTCTTGTCCAGGTCCCTGGAGGCACATCACAGAACTTGAACAAATCAAGACTGAACTTTTAGATATTGTAAAAACACTCTCATTGGAAATCAAGGCATGTGCTCTCTTTTGAATTCTGTTTACTAGCTTGATTATCACTTCCATATAACTATCAAAACTGAAAGCTCTGTCTGGAGTGTGGTATTCTTAAAAGTATAAGAATTATTTGAAACAAATAGAGGGAAAAAAGTGAACTTTAAAAAAAACAGTGGCTTTTCTGGTTTAAGTCAACGTATGGATATTCCACTTTATGGCAGCCCTGTTATTCTCTGGTAACAAAAGAAACATTCAGGGGCATCTTAAAGATCATAAAGGTACTTGTACTTTACATCACTGCAGGAATTTGTTTCCATAATTTAAAGATAGGAGAAAGAGATCTTGAACATACCTTTGGTGGCTAGTCGGACACAATTTATTTTGGTTTCCTGAAAATGACAGAACATGAAAGGACATCAGATTGTTTCTTTATGAAGCACTTAAGAAGGAACAATATCCTTCAGCTAGAGTCATACATAAAGAATATTTCTGGAATATCTATGCCTAGCATAATAAATATAGAACTGTGCACACAATGAAAAAGGTTTAGAAATGCTGTGGACATGACCTGAATGCAAGCATACATTTCTCATCTACTATTCATTTAAGGGAACATGATATTTTTCAGATTCCTATTGCTTCAAGAGTCACCAGAACTTTGATGATGAATTCCTTACAGGGTATCCTTTTTTCCCCCCATACTTATATGGATACCTGAAACATGAACAGGTTGCTTTAATAAACAGCAAAGAAATGCTATTTCTGCATGAGACCTGAAGCACTTCAAATCACTTTTGAAGAGTATTCAGCCCTACTAAATGCAAATTGATACCACTGTGCATAAAACCTGAGTGCCATTGTCAGGGAAAAGATTGGGGATATAAATTAAATTCAATATGCACATTAGTGAAAGGGAAATGGTGCAGTCTGCAAAAAAGGACAAAAATACATGGGCATAAATACAGTCCTCTACTGTCCATCACACTTTACTTGGACACCTTCACAAATATATACAAGGAAATGCATATTTGAAAAAGATCTGTCTAGCTTAAGAATATAAAACTTGAAAAAAATGTTTAAACTCTACAGAAAAGTGTTAGGGAAAGTTACCAATCATTTCATTGTTTTTTAATTTTTTTTTCTTTTTTGCAAAAAAATGTGAGAATATAAATTATAGAAATTTTTTGCAAACCATACATATTTGATTTAGACTCATCTACATACCTTTTGTTCAAAAATTATGCATAATTTAAGAACACACAATTCATACCCAAATGATATATAATCAGGTTATACCTTGCAATTTGTCTTTATGGTTCTGACAAAGAAATATTTGTTGGGTGGTAATAAAATACAAATGCCACTTTCTTCCTCTCTTTTATACTGTAAAACATATGTCTTCAAGTACCGGATTTTGAATAAATGATTGTATATAATATAACTTTATTAATTGTATATAATAGAACTTTATTAATGTGGCTATTTTATGCACATTTTGCCTGTATAAATTATTGTATATAAAATTATAATAGCATTCTATCAATAGGGTTATTTTGTGCACATTTTGCAAGTATTAATATCACATTATATATTTATAATTTTCATCTTTATTTTAATAATATTTTTTCAAAAAATAGAACAATACTTTATTATAGGAAATATATTTTCTGGTGGGATAAGATAAAAACATGATTCTACATCTGGTGATGCTAGTATTATTGTATATCATATTGCATAATTTCTTACTCCCAGAATACTTCTCTATAAGTAGACTGTCCTACTGCTATCATTTCTAACAGCTGACAAACACAAGACAGCAACTGTACCAGATTAATTTTTTTTTAAAGGTATTATCTTCCACTTCAAACATATTCAAAACTTCCTCCAAGTTTAAGAGGAAACAATCTGATTCCGAGAGTAGGAGAGTCTAAAAATAGTTTAACCTCATAATTTGAATGTCCCATAAAATCATCCAAACTTCCATCAAAAAATAATAATTCAGTCAGATGCATGGACAGAGGCACAGGCAGAGTTTTGTGATTGATAGATCTAATTTCCAGTGATTAAACGCCTTTATAAGGGCTTTATTTTTCTATTTACTTTCTTTTGCTTCAAATTACACTAAATTTTAACATAAGCCCCATTCAGGTATCAGACTTCCAGAGTTCATGACAGAAGCGCTCTGTCAAGTCCCAAACCCAATTGTCATTAAACTGAAATTGGTTGCTGGGCATATTTGGCAATTGAAAAGAGTTGATGTTCACCTCTTACACATTGATACATTGCCTTGCAGAGAGTCCCCTAATCCTTAAATTATTCTTATTATTATTTTTAAATGTTTGCACAAGGAGGACAATCCACATTGCTATACTTAGCAATCAGTGGTACTGCAGATTGTGGGTGGGAAAAATTACTTTATTCCATAATGTTTCCCTGCTTCTTAGGAAAAAAAATAGCTCAGCTTTGTGTTTCAGTACTGATACCTGATAGCTATAATATTGCTAGTATTGGTATATGTGGGCATATTTGTATTAGTCTGTGACACATAAAATAAAGGACAGGGATAGATCAAAGTCTGACATCTGAACACTGAGTACTGCCAAACCAAATTACTTATTAGTTTTGATTGGAATTAAATTCTGTCTTCTTCCCATGCATTATTCCCATGCTGTGGCAGGGTCTGCTTAAATTCTGTATCATGACTAATAAGAGGTATGCCTTCTTGTCATCTGATATCCTTCTACTATAAATTAGGCTCAGATAATAATAAGTCTACTATGAATTCCCATTCCTTCTAAAAATACATGGGTGTTTTCCTCTAGACATTAACTTATACTATGTTCTAAAACCTCAGTAACATTTCCTTTGGAATAAATTTAAATTTTAAATCATGTGCAAAAGTTGTCACCCCCCCTTTTAAAAAAAAGCAGTGGTTTTTTTTGCATGTTAGAGCTTCTGTTTGTGACCAAGTAAAGCTGTACTGTAGCCATCCAGTCTCTTCTCTCATTAGCTAAGACTGTTACATTGAAAATGACACAATAGATATTTACATATTATGTCTGTTAAATTGTGACCAACTTAGATCAGCCATTCTTTGGCTTTTGTTGCACAATGTGCCATGTCTGGGGTAATATGCCAAATTGTCATGTTCTAGTCTTGGGGTTGTCATAGAGGAATTGAATTTTCTGGATCTCCACCCAAAGATAGTCTAAATAGAACATACGTGAAATTGAATATTCTTTAATTTTATAATACAAACATCTGTTTACTGGAATGTGTGGGTTTTTTCACTCTATGGACTTGTCAAAAGCCAGATACTTAAATGAAATATGTCAGAGTTGGGTGTAAAGGGGGGGGGGGGGAAGCAAAAAATTGTATAGATAAAATACAACTGGTTCCTGATTCAATGAGATTGTGCAACAATGCACAGGAATGTTAAGAGTAGGAATATGCAGCCCCCGGCATGTTATTTAAAATTCCAGAAATCCTGCCAAGTAGGTGGAGTTCAGGGATTCAATCTTTTTCCTTATAAACATATTTTTGAACAGTATAGGAGATTTAAGCAGTACAATGAGTGCTTTAAACATTAGATTCACAATACAGCATCCCTCAAAAAAAAAAAAAAACAACCTTCCAAGCCATCAAGATGATTTTTCTGATGGAGAGAGAGGAGCAAAATATCTTAAGTCTCTGTAATTTTTAAGGTATCAGTATTGCGCTTTGTACACTTAAACAGAATAATGTTGACAAATTTCAGCCAATGATACCACAGGCAATGGTCTCTGTAGCCTTTGGACAGGACACACAATTGAAGTACAAAGTCCAAAAAATCCTTGTGTGTTTTCTGAATGCACCAAATTATTTTTTTTAGTCTTAAAGTTTTTGACAATCTCACCATTAGCACTTCTTAAAAGCTCAGCTTTTATTACCAATATTTTAAATGTAAATATAAAAATCTCACAAGATTTGACAATCTTACAAGGTTTCAGCAATTATTAATGTATTTATTTAATTCTTATTGACTTTTTAAAAACTTTTAGCCTTTATATCTTGCCTTTCCTCATACTGTTCTATTTAAAAAAAAAAAATTCTGAGAATCCTGTCTATGGTTGTTGAGGATGCCATAATATTCTGGATTCAGCTGTCTAACCTCAGAAGAAATCCAAGAACTTTATCAAGGGCAGAAAGCAATAATTAGAAATGAAGACAGAAGTGAGATTACAATTTTTATCCTGTTAAACCATTCTGTTTATATTATCTGATGTAAATCCTTCTCCTGAAGAAAAAAAATCAACATTGAAATTTCATTTTTTACTGTGACCAATTCATATTTAATTAAAATATCACAGGAAGAGGAAGAGCTAGGCATTGATAAATAGATAGATACAAATCTCATTAAAGGAGGCTAGTCTGAAATTGTGTTGAAAATAGGAGATACTATTTACTACAAAAGAATTTTAGATTAACAGTGCGATCAAATAAAAGAGGATTTTTTAAAATGTTCCATTTCTATACCAAGCAATGTTTATAAAGTGAAGTTGATGGGGGGAAAGGAGACAGCTGGAAGCAGTTAGAGCTTGTACCTCTTATTAAATAATTATAGAATGAAATGTAAACTTGGAATTTTTTTTGTTTTTGTTTTGGTATATCTGTGTCATTTGGAATTATATTAGCTCTTGGGCTGTCATTATTTATGAGTTGGAAGGTGTAGGTCTTCAAACAGGAATATAAATCACAACCGCACATATATGTTTATTGTTCCTCTCCTTAACTTTCACAGAAAACCTGAGTGGAGATTTTCACCTTCTCCCAACAATTCTATGCCTGGCCAATCTCTCTTGTGCTGGTTTTCTCTGCAGCTTATTGACAGAAAATATAGTCTTTCTTCCTCTTAGAGATTTTGGTCAGGATAACAGTGGTGGGGTGGGTGAAGTCTTTCTTCTCTTACATCAAAAAGATCTTGGCTAAGTTTTCTGCTTGGTTCCCTACTGCAAACACACTCATGGATATTATATCTGCTCTGGTGGCCTAGAAGTGGAGCTCTCACCTCACAATCAAGAGGCTGTGAGTTTGATCCTAGGTAGAGGCTAATATTTGGAATAAATTCTCCTGCTTGAGCAGGAGGTTGACTAGATGACCTCCAAGGTCCCTTCCAAGTTTGTTATTCTATAATATCTAAGTTGCAATGGACAGTGACAATTATTTTAATTCCACCCACTTCAAGCAAATATGTTATACACTTCACATACACTTGCGATAATACGAGAAGCATATTATCAAATATTAAAAAAATTACATGGTTTGGCATGTTTTTTTTTTAAAAGATCCAGGGGATTTATTGTTAAATTGAGTGATTTTGCTCATGATGCACTTACCCCATTTGCTTTACTTAGAGCCTGAAAGTAAATGCTGTAGCTTTTCAATGGTGAAAGTGGAGCATTCCAATAGCCATTATAGGTTTTGTTATCTCCTACTGTGAAAGGCTGCGTAACTGGAAGATTGACTGGTTTCAACTCAGCTGCAAAGTAATGAGGGGAGTCAAGATTTGAAGCATTTTTGTAGCTCACTGGAACAGAAAAACATTCAATGATGTCTGCAGCTCTTCGTGATTTCTGTGGCCGTTCTTCTTTTACAACAAGCTGGTAGACACTGAAAAAGACCAAGAAAATTTAATGGGATAGGAACAAACAACTTTTTGAGTGTAAGAGAAACAATCTAATTTAGGAGACTATTGGCAATAAAAATGAACATCTATCCAACTGTCTGCATTTATTGTAGAAAAATCCCAAGATTTGCATTGCTCACCAGCACTCTACAAATGTAATAAGTGCAGAAAAGTATTAGAATTGTACTGCAATGATGTCGGCCTGAATTGGATTGGCACTTGGCAGTACTCCTATTGAACACTTCTGCTGCTTCCCTGCTACAGAACTCAGCTGTCCACTAGATCACTGAGAAATTTACCAAGTGTATAAGGAAACTAATTGGATCCATAAGGTACCTGGGATAAATTATCTTAATCGCCCCACACCCTCTAAGGACAGTAGTAACTGTAAGTCCCAAAGTGACCAGATAGTGATTTGACCATGACAAATGACTGCAGTTGATGTCTTTTATCTTTAGCTTGCACATTGCTTGCTGTGAGGTAAAAAAAAAAAAAACAGGGTCAATTGGAGCTGTGATGATATTTTTTAATTTCATTTTCAGATGCTCCTGTCAACTGGTTTCCATACTTTAAGTCCAAATGATGACCCAAATGAATTGGAATGAAGAACAGAAAGAAAAGGAACAACAAAGTTTTGTTGAATTCTGAAAGGCTTATAAGCGTATTCAACTGAATCCTCCTTTAGTTGTTGAATGAACATCACTTGTGTAAGGGCCACCCTGGTACAATTAAACACTTTAGAGCTGCAGCAAAATCTATATCCCTTCATGAATTCATAACTTGTGTAATTATATTGAAACCTTTAATAGAACTACTATGATTGCAATAAATTGAATGATTGACATGGTTGAGAAACCAAGTCAGAAAAAGGTTAAACAAGGTATGAGATTATATGATCCATAATCACAATACCTTATAATTATATCTTCTGGTCCTAAGTGTTTTAGTTCAACAAGCCCTAGAGTCTGGAGGGTGAGTCTGTCTTCAAAAGTAGAATGGCAAGAAATTGAATGCAAGAGTTGGAAAAATACAAGCAGTTCTTGTTTATTGATGTCCTGTTTAATGACAATTTGAATTTATAACCATGCTGAAAAAGTAACTTTACAAGAGAGAGAGGGAGAGGGAGAGGGAGAGGGAGAGGGAGGGAGGGAGGGAGAGAGAGAGAGATTCTTGGGGGGAAATTCAGCAACAGAGTGATCAATGTCTGGAATACTCTACCTGACTCTGTGGTTTCTTCCCCAACCCCACCAAACTTTAACCTTAGACTGTCTACTATTGACCTCACCCTTTCCTAAGAGGTCTGTAGGGGGCATGCATAAGCGCACCAACATGCCTACCATCCCTGTCCTATTGTTTCTTTTATTTTTCTTATATGTACCCACTTCATGTATTCAAAAATATGTATATACTTATACCTATTATCTTGTAAGCAATTGACAAACCAAATAAAATTAAAAATAAAAATAAATCAAAGTTTGAACAGCCAGGAAGAAACTAAGAAGAGAAGCAGATTGGATACCTGATCTGAGAGGAGGAATCAAACAGCCAAGAAGAAAAAAGTGGAGAACAATAGCTCTACAAGATTTTGTTTTATTTTGTTTTGTTGTGCAATGAGAATTTTTACCAAGAGACAGAGGAAGAACATTTCGTTAAATACTGTGCTTTTGAGATGTACTTTGCCTTTGAGGTAACTCCTCCATCTATTGTGTGTGTGAGAAAACAGGCTATTAATTCTGAGTGAGTCTTATTCCAGGACACTGGAAAATTAATCCTATTGATTCAACAGCGTGGCATTGCTTAAAATGATTGTATGTGTTCTTTAATGTCCAAGTGTTTTAATATATCCTTTCCTAATGATGTATGGAACAGCTGTAGAAAGTTCATAAGAAAGGTGTGGGTATTTTTTTTTTTTATTAAATGCCCTGAAAGGGGAGAATATTGTTCTTCAGAGCCTCCTGGCTAAAACATTTGACAGCAGGGTTGTTTACAATTCTAAATTATACACACTCACACACACAGAGATACACACACACACACACACACACACACACAAAGAAATAAATAAGAAATGATATCAAGATATCTGGAACAATTCAGTTCCTATGACTTCTCCAATAGTATGTGAAAACGACTTTGGGAGACTGGAGATGGTGGTGGTGATGAGATACTGCTAGAGCACAACCATATGTGGGGATGGAGACAGGTTTCTGCAGCTGCATAACAAGCAGAGAAATAAACTGGGAAAAATCTTCCCTAACTTCTCAGTCTGTAAAAAGAGACAAAGGGAGATTTGTACTTTCAGACTTGCATATTTCTGTCAATGTAGCCCTACAATAAAGTAGAATTAATTCATTTGTTCTGTTTGCTGTGTGAGGGGAGGCAGACAATTTTCTACCTCTTACATTATCTTTAATCAATTTATCTAAGAAATGCACTTTTGGAAAACTTGTTGAATGGGATTTGCTGTCTTTTTAGCAGAGTTTGGCAACTCTTCAATAAACATTAATTTTCCCAGTTAATTTAATGTCATAAATAATGTATTAAGTAGCATCTAGAATTCTGAAAAAAATATAGCCATCTAAATTATTATCAGAAAGCTTGCATCTATCATAATAGAGTTCATTCCTATTTTTCACATGAATTCATCAAAACCTACAAGGGTAGCAAGAATGCTAAATTTCTCTTTAGTATTTTTTTGCTTATTTTGGTTTCAAAATGCATCGGTATCTTAATTCAATGTCCCTTGATCTCATCAAGGCATTTTTATATTAGAAGACACAAAAATATAATACTTTATGTTTTAAAACCTTCTTTTTATCTTAAGACCCTGTACACATTATCTTTTCCTGTATGCTAAGGTCCCAAATAATGTTATCAGAGATGGAAAATCAAGAAGACCACTTCTGTTCTGTCTTGATAAGTTCAAACAATGCCTCACTCTGAATTGGATTCAGGATCAAAGCCCTAATTGTAATTATGCCCAGAAATTGAAAAAAATCTTACATGCACAAATTAGAGGTGTATATGCCAAATTTATGTTAAAGTAAGGAAATTTCCAACTGTAATATAATGGATATTAAGCATAACGATTTCAATGAGCCAGATTCTGTTAAGGATTGGGCTCAAGTAATGAAAATTCTGCTTAAACTGTTCTGTATAGTTTTTAATATAAAATATGGAACAACTGAATATACCACAGTTGTTACCATACCTTTTATTTTTGTGACCCTTTAATCCCTTGTATCAAAAGAAATCCTCAACTAAAAGAAATAGACATTGGCGTTAAAATTGCTAGAAGAAATATTAACAGTCCCAGACCTTTTGAATGGAGATAAGGAAGTCTTAAAAAAAACTTGTTGAAGATGAAAGAAGCTAGCATGATGTTAACTATAATTTATTATTTATTTTGTTACCTGATTTATATGACCATTCACTTGCTAAACAATTATGTTAATGTGCAATGCCAACCCAATGCAAAAAGATGAAGAGGTAACAGCCTTTATTTTCATAAGCTCAAAAATTCATAGAAATGTTGAACTGTGACCATAAAATAAAGAGATGGCTTCAATTTTAGAGAAAGATGATAAATCTAGAAAAATGTTAAATTGTATAGATACATTATTCTGATAACAACAATTGTAACATATAGCTATGAAAACTACCATCAGAAATGAGCAACAAAACTTGGTTGTCTTTCAATTTTACTCCTGAAAATGGAAATTTTGGATGACAAGAATAACAAAGTAATTGAAATCTGGTTTCTACCAAAGATTCTACCATTAACTTGGAAGCGGAACCATCACATTTTGCTCAGGACATTTAAAAAGCAAGAAACTTCTTATCTCCCAATTAAATGAGTTTACTATGAACAATGCAAGGAAACATTGAAACACAAGCACAGGGATAGATCCACCTTACTAAAACTCTGGGTATCATTGAACTTAAACCTACATTCTATGCAAGACTTGTTGGAAATAAAGTCACTATTTCAAATACTTATTGCAAAAGATCATGCAGTATCAAAAGGATTAAATAATGGTTATAATCCCATTTTAAATACTGACCTAAAACAATAACATTTATTTGGATTTATATGGACACCCACTTATGAAATACAATTTTGGCAGGTTTGTGAGAATAATAAAAATACAGTAATATGCAAAACCTAGAGTTTTAATCAAGAGTATCCAATCCATTGAGCAGGACACTGTCTAAATTCCAACCTCAATTTATTTTAATACATGAAAGAAAAGCCAACTCTATATTTTGCTAGAAATGGATCTCAGTGAAGAGTTACTATGGAAGAAGGAGCTTCCTCGGTTCTTCTAGACAATGGCATTGAAGGGACAGGGTCTGCAGCATGCTCATCCTATCAAACCTGATGGAAGAGATGGTCCCACAAATAGCTTGGCCCTGATAAAGATAGGGCTTAAAATAATTAACACCTTGAATTTATACTAGAAGCTAGAACAAAACTAGGAGCCAGTACAGCTTGCTCAACAGCAGTATGATACAGGCAAACCAAGAGCTATATGATATAGTTCCACATATTTTGGATAAGTTGTAATATTTTTGGTCTCCAAGAGCAGCCCCAAGTAGAGTGCATTGTAGTGGTCCAACTGAGAAGTCACCAAGGCATGAATGATGATAAGCCCATGAAATGTATTCTATAAATTTTATCATTCCCAAAGTTCACAAGAATTCACATAAACTTTCTGTAATTTTTTTTGTTAACTAGTTCTTATAGACAAAAGAACTCTTGGTGTACTACACTTACACTCTAATTGGTTTCTTTTGTATCTTCACTATGCACTTATGACAATTCCTGATTGTATCTTCAGTTAACATATTAATGCAAGAGTTTCTTTTTCTAGTTTGAAGAATTATGCATTCATTATGGCGGAAAATTAATATCTCAAAGCAAACTATAATTAGGAATTCTTCATTTCAGTTTATGCTTTTTCAATTAGGCTCTCTATAATTT